GGGTTTAGGGTTTGGGGTTTAGGGTTTAGGGTTTAGGGTTTGGGGTTTAGGGTTTAGGGTTTAGGGTTTATGAAGGTTAAACTTTATTACTATAATTCAACACCGCTGATGCTGGCACTGCTGCTACTGCTGCTGCTGCAGTTCTTATGGCTGCTGCTGCTGTTGCTGCTGCTGCTGTTAGTGTTGCTGCTGCTCTTGCTACTGTTGCTGTTGTTGCTGCTGTTGTTGCTGCTGCTGTTGTTGCTGATGCTGTTGCTGCTGCTGCTGCTTTCCTTGCGGCAGCAGCAATGTTCTCTGTTTATATTATATTTCCTTTCATCTCTCACCTGCTGCTGCTTCTGCTGCTGCTGCTTCTGCTGCTGCTCCTTCTGCTGCTGCTGCTGCTGTTGCTGCTGCTGCTGCTGCTGCTGCTGCTGCTGCTGCAGGACTTCGACAGCCCCCCTAGCGTTCGTTATCTATTAGAGGTGCTGCTGCCGCTGCTGCAGCAGGAGAGCAGCAAGGCCGACTGGAAGCAGCAAACGCATGCGCTGCTTAATGTAAGAAGAATAGCCAAATACCACCCAAATATACTCACACCAGGTATGCTGCTGCTGCTGCTGCTGTTGCTGCTGCTGCTGCTGGTGCTGCTGGTTGTCGTGGTGGTGGTGGTGGTGGTGCTGCTGCTGCTGCTGCTGCTGTTGATGGTGGTGGTGATGGTCGTGGTGGTTGTAGTGGTGCGGTTGGTGCTGCTGCTGCTGTTGCTGTTGCTGTTGCTGTTGCTGCTGCTGCTCTTGCTGCTGCTGCTCTTGCTGCTGCTGCTGCTGCTGCTGCTGCTATGGGGTCTGAGTGTGTGTCTGTTTATTTCAATTACTTACAGCAAACCATTCATTCTTTCTGCGTTTTCTGCTGCTGCTGCTGCTGCTGTTGCTGCTGTTGCTGCTGCTACCGCCATCTCTCTTACTGCTGCTGCTCCTGCTGCTGCTGCTCCCACTGCTGCTGCCGCTGCTGCCGCTCCCACTGCCTCTCCCACTCCCCCTCCCGCTCCCCCCGCTGCTTCTGCTGCTGCTGCTGCCTCTCTCACTCCCCCTCCCCCTCCCCCTGCTGCTTCTGCTTCTGCTGCTGCTGCTGCTGGTGCTGCTTGTGCTGCTGCTGCTGCTGCAGAGAGTGTGCGTCGCGTGTGTGTTAGTGTGGTGGGGTTGCTGAGCTGCCCGCGGAGTTCTGTTGCTAAGAACGCCGCCATCGCCCTCACCGATCTCTTCTCCTTCGCCAAAGGAAAAACTGTACACACACACAGCTAGCTAGCTAGCTAGCTAGCTAGCTAGCTAGCTAGNAGATAGATAGATAGATAGATAGATAGATAGATAGATAGATAGATAGATAGATATATAGATAGATAGATAGCTAGACAGCTAGCTAGCTAGATAGATAGATAGATAGATAGATAGCTAGATATCTAGCTAGCTAGCTAGCTAGCTAGATAGATATATAGATAGAGAGCTAGCTAGCTAGCTAGCTAGCTAGCTAGCTAGCTAGCTAGATTGATAGATAGATAGATAGATAGATTGGTAGATTGATTGATTGATATATTGATGGCTAGCTAGCTAGCTAGCTAGCTAGCTAGCTAGCTAACCAGATATGTAGCTAGCTAGCTAGCCAGCTAACCAGATATATAGCTAGTTGGGTAGATTGATAGAGGGATAGCTATATTGATTGCCATCCATCAATCTATGCTGCTGCTGTTGCTGCTGTTGCTGCTGCTGTTGTTGCTGCTGCTGTTGTTGCTGCTGCTGCTGTTAGTGCTATTGCTGCTACTGCTGGTGCCGGTGCTGCTGCTGTTGCTGCTGGTGGTAGTGCTATTGTTGCTGTTGCTGCTGCTGCTGTTGCTGCTAGTGCTGCTATTAGTGCCATTGCTGCTGTTGCTGCTGCTGTTGCTGCTGCTGCTGTTGCTGCTGCTGCTGTTGCTGCTGCTGCTGTTGCTGCTGCTGTTGCTGCTGCTGTTGCTGCTGCGGTTGGTGCTATTGCTGCTGCTGCTGTTTTTCTTTTTTGTTTGTAGGACTCTGCCGTATCGGAGGTTGTTGACGTC